ATCAGAACTGGATGTACTCGGCGTTCTCTCTGATGTCTTATAAACAGGAATGAGATTTCTTTGAACTTCCCCGGAGAGCGGTTCGTGTTTCCAGCGTCTCCGCGTCTCCTCCGTGTGACGGAAACGCCGCGCGCACAGCGAGCAATGGAAACCCTTAAAGTAAAGGTCGTGTGATGGGGAGCGATGTTTTCTGACGCACGGCTGACTTCCTGTCCGGGGATCTCCTATCACTCAACCATCTGCCATCCGCTCACCACCTCCTCTTACCTAAAACGTCACCTTAAAGCAGGGGTAGCAAAGCTCCGGCCCTGCAGCTGCGGCGAAACTACAAATCCCATGAGGCATTGCAAGATTGTCACAGCCACAAACATGACTCCCGGAGAGAGATGCATCATGGGATTTGTAGTTTCACCACAGCTGGAGGGCCGGAGCTTTGCTACCCCTGCCTTAAAGCGTCACCCCCCCCTTTCACTAAAAATCACATCACAGCTCTGCACACTGATGGGAAATCTTCTCACGTTCATTCGCTAAACATAAATATTTTACTTAAAATTATTGGTTTTCCACTTCCTGGTCCTCCTGGGCATAAGTGATGTCATCGTGCCCAAGCGTTGCGTCCTGGGAAGGGGACATCAGCAGAGCTGGGAAATCTCGTCTGTAATCTCACGAGATCTCGGGGAAAGGCATTTTCCTCCCCTGAGATGATTCGCATGGTCACATGTCCTAGTCACATGGGTCAGAGTTCCAGGAAGTGGAGGGAGATGGGGTTCATCTGCCCTTAGTTAAAATGGCCGCTGTGAGTAAAAGAAAAATAAGGAATGCGGAGAATGCAATGCCGGCAATTATGTGGAAGTCTCTGATTGTAGATTGTCATCACTGAACATTTCTGAAGGGGTCTTTGTTGTTGTTTTAAAGATTTGGGTGAAGGTTTCGGCTTTAAAGGGTATTTGTGGTCAAAAACTAAAAATAATGTCTCCGGCATTGCTCATGGTCTGCGGCGTGTAGGATAAGGCAGAGTGCTCTCTGATCCCCTTCTCCGGCATTGCTCATGGTCTGCGGCGTGTAGGATAAGGCAGAGTGCTGTA